ATAAAGAAAATAACAAGAATGGAGTATACATTAAAACAATAAATATATGATTATATGAAACAGGAAAGATTGTCCAATAATATATGAAAAATTTATGATCAATGTATAAATTTGCATTTTTTTTTTACATAGCAATTTAAATCACATTTCACAGTACATTTCCATCACATACACAACACAGTTAGCCATCAAAATATATCTATATAAAAACAAGTTACATTTCACCTTTACTGAGTAATTTTTTTTTTTTTGCAAATCTTGATATATTTAATACAAATTCATGGAAAAACACTGATAAGTTTCATCTACATCATGTTCAAAATTGGTCAAATCTGAACACTGAAAATTAGATGAGTTTTGTAGTTTAAATTCTCGAAGAATATCTTTCTACTCCATAAATCATTATGTGTAAACTCTAAGTTATGTACTGTATTATGACAGCATACACAGAAAAAAAATATCCAGGAGGAAAATAACATTATTATGAATACAAGGAATATATACAAATCAGTATGTACACCAACAGAATAATGATACAGTATATCATTGTATGTATTGTCCAGCAGCAAAGCATCTCAACTCATGAATCAAAGACCAGGAAGGCTCTACAGTATTATAAACTGTTAGCTTTTATATCATGTTAGATTGTTACAAAGCAATACCATGGCTTTAAGTTGTAGTGATAAGAGCAACAATTTATAAAATTTACCATAACAGAGATGCATGGATAGTATACTATTAGTAGAAGTAATTATTACTTATTATGACAATTGTTGGGAATTTCATTAACAGTTCACTATAGCGTCAATGATTCTTAGTGTTCATTCTGGCTATTGTGAATACTGTAGTGTGTTACTGTACTGTACAGTACTCATGATTAATAGTGGAAAAATTTTTGTTGTCAGTATGTCATCTTAGTTGTTGCATCTGTTCATCCAGTGCTACTTAATCAAACTGACTTTAACTGGGAGCTACTCGTAATTAATCATTGTGATTCAGTGATGATGCTCCTTTTGCCATGGACAAAATTCTGAGTAAATGAACCATTCTGTTGTTGATTATCATTTTTCATTGCTGTTTATTGAATTACTGTACCTATGGCAGAGTTACTGTGCAACTCTTACTTTTCAACATACAGTAATAAAGAATATCAAAAGAGAGTATGTCAACCTGTATTTAGTTAATCTTTTGCAAGAAGTTTTGCATCATGACTCAACTTTAAAAATGATGGATCAACTGTTCTGGTGACACAGTACACTTCCCATTGTGCTGTGTATAATAATGCAGAATCACCATAGTACAGTATCTTGAAAGATGAATATGAAAAGGAATTTCTTATACCTGTATAAACAATGCTAGTTACTTGAAAATTCAGTATTTTTAATTTCCTTGATTTCATGTGGGTAATAAGCATTTTATTTTGTAAAATTATAAATTTCAGTTACATCACATAACTTCTACTTAGTGGAGCCTGACCATCCTTTTACAATTGTGCATTTCTTGAATAACTAAATATGAACATAAACATCACTAGAGCGACATGCTTTGGTTATTGGGTTTATAAAACATTCTATCTTTCAGTGATGACAAGCTATAATCTTTTCTTTGATGAGAAAATCAACACATCAGCTAAATCAGCACACTTAGTAGAGCAGGAAATGTATCAGACAACTAAAAGTAATCCTGAGCCCAATACATTTCAAGCTCCGACTCATTCCATGTACAATTACCATTAATAGAGAATTGACAAGCATCAATGGCCACCATTACTGTGAAATTATATCCATGTACAGTACAATTACTACAAGTTAGTATCCTGAGAATTAATGTATCTATTTTTAATTCCAACATTCATATTTTGTTTTCAAACAGCAAATGAGACCTGGATCTTAAGACTTAATTAATCCTTAAATCAATTATAATTTAATAAAGTTATCAGTATTTGACTTACACCATCCCTTATGAAGGACAATATTGTACACATGAGTGCTAAGTCATGAACTCAAGGAGTTTCCTTGTTATAAGAAAAAATGGGACTTGGATAAAACATACCGAGCTTCTTCTATTAGTTCATATTGTTAACAACAAATATGCCACTTAAAAATAAAATTAGTTATATATATATATATATATATATATATATATATATATATATATATATATATATATATATATATATATATATATATATATATATATATATATATATATATATATATATATATATATATAAAGAAAAAAGTTTCCACACACTATAATGCAAATAACTTTGCATTTGCAGCTCCAGGTTGAATACTATCTAATGACCTGGTTGGATGACTATTCCAGTTTCCTCACTACTGTGCATTATGACTAATTCTACTCAAGAACAGCCAGTTACATCTCTTGTTTAAACCCAAGAAGTAACCACAGTGAAAAGTGCAAGAATCTAGTCTACCATGTTGTGGAGGTCAACTACCAAATATAGGTGCCAAGTTTCATTATCTACATGTCAGTTAGTAACCCGATTATCACTAGAAAGAGGTTAATCAACCCACCAATTGTCAAGACTACGTTACGTAGTCATTTAAACCGACGATTTTATAATTTGTCTTGACGACGAACGGGTACATATCCACGGTCACCAGGTGCCCACACTCATGGGCCTACATAAGAAAACAACTAATGAAATCTATATAAAAATATATATATTTCCAAGTGGGGGAATGAGAGCTGCAAATTATGTTATAACTCGAGAAGTGTGACATTGTAAAAAGCATCTGTAAATGCCTGAATTGTCTTCTCCCATGTATGGATGATCAGCATGAATTTACATTACAAAGTTTGGTGTGTGCAGAAATGTTTTACTACAGGGTATCTGTAGATTAAAATAAGTAATGAATAGTTCATATCTTTCACTCTCTCTATCATAAACATACACACATTAACATACGGACATACAGATAATGACTCATTCTCCATCTAAACTTGCTACCAAGAAATACACTCAATGAATAGATGAAAGATGTCTTTTTCACTACAAAGTAAATACAGTCAGTTCTGCTATAACGCGATAGTTGTGTTCTTGTAAAACATCGTGTTATAGAAATTCGCGTAATAGAAATAACAGGGCTTATGGAGAAAATAGAGTTAGGTGCAGATTACTACTCGAAATCGAAAAAAATTTAGTAGTAAGCCTAACACAAAGGATAGCACAGTCGAAATAAATGTTACATTCATATCTAATAATGAAATCATACAGTAAATGTAACACTTTGCCTTGAAAAAAAAAGAATATAACTTGATGGGGGAGGAGGGTGATTTTGAGGTTGATAACATAGAGCTTCTCTTCAAGTGTTATAGCCTTTCTTTTACGATCATCACCGGGAATGCGATCACCAGAACGCTTCTTGGAGATATTCTTCTTTACAATATTCACAGTTAATACCACAAAATTGGAGAAACAGTAAGCAAAAATCGCGTTACAGCAAACAAGCGTTCGCATTATGCAAATATCGTTCCTCTATTCATAAATCGCATTAGAGCCAATTCGCGTTGTCAAAACACGCGTTATAGCAGATCTCACTGTACTAAATATAACCAATTGAGAATAATGTTTTATGATAAAATCAACACCATGGAATAATGGAGTGTGATATAATGATGAAAATAAAGATTCAGAATGACAATCATGGCTTTTGAAGTGATTTTGGTATTCAAAGAGTCATGGTACATATCATCAAGAATGTAGACAAGAACCATTAAACCACATTAGAAGTCAACACATTCATAGGTCCCATACATCATATTAATGAGTCCATACGTGAAATATATTTTGGGTACTGACAGACCAGTACCTACGTGTTGTGGCATTTAGGTCCTTATATTGCACTGCTAGATTATAAATGTATTTGAGATGAATTGAAATGAATCCTCTACAAAATGTTTTGATGGAAAAAAGAAAAGAAAAAAAAAAGAAAAGAAAAAAAAGGCTTAACCACATACCAGTAAGTTAAACCGTGATTATATAAATCCCGCAGGTACGTCTATCCACCAATAAATATTTGAAATTTATATGATCGAGCCTGAACAAGTAAAAATTGTGAGACTAAAATCACTCACACCAAGACTTCCTCACCCTTCTTTGTAACAGTGACTGAACTAAAGAAATAAATGCTCCAAATCTTGATTAACTTATTACCAGACACATAACCATAGAATATTAATGTTTCTCTGGTCGTGTGGTCCTTGTTCAAGCTTGATCCAGGTACCAGAAGCAATTATTTGGCACCTGAAAAGTTTCACAAGGCGCCAAAAGGCATCTAAACCGCTCCTAAAAAATAGGAGGAACCTCAAGGCGCTTAAAAGCCAGACCCGCAATGGGTAACACTGTTTTCCGAAGTTCCAATATGCTAACAGACAAACAAACACAAACAAACACAGACAACAATATACAGACACAGGTCAACTAGGTCACAGTGAAGGAGGGATTCAAACAGTTGACCAAAGCACCTTCAGATTCACAGGGCAAAGTAAGATAAATGAATCAAAGGTTACAAAATGCACCAATTTACTATAAATGATTTGTGTGAAAATATAATGATTTGACCCAAACAAACAAGTAAAAACAAAAAAAAAGATATGAAAATTGGTTAGAAAATATTTTAAAGAACAGCAATTACTTCAGTAATACCTTGTAATACTGTATTACATGTGAATGTGGATATCTTTTTGTATATCTCAGATCTTTATTATATACAGTGAGCTATACAGTATCTTACTTATAGTCAGATTTATTTTATTTTAGTTGATGGTACAAGCCCCACCCCACCCCCCTGCAGCTCATTGGCTCACACATAAAGTTTAATGAATATTGATACCATATCACAAATAAACTCATCCTGTATATAACTCTTAAGAATACCCAGTTCTGACTTACTTCATTGCCCAATTTAATGTATGTAAAGACATAATTGCTTGAAAACATTTAATCTTCAAGAAGAATTAAAACAAAAGTTTGAAATAAAGATGATTTTCTGTAGAAATCACAAATAAATTCCCCCTTTTATAGAATGGGGGGGGGTCTTATCATAGTACCCAAGGTAACAAAAACTGACTATACATCCTTGGTGAGGTTACAAAATTTGTTTCCATCTAAAAGCTTCAAGAATTTCAGAGCAGTACTGTATACTCTATGCCTCTGTATCTGAAGGTACAAAAATCAACCATAAAGCTTTGTGCAAGGTGTTTCTCACGGTTTGTCGACATGCGATCACAACCACCTATTGAAACCAACCAATGACTACCAACTCAAATTTATCACTGGTATCATAACCTATTACCGTACATCTTTTTCTTCAATCTCATTAAAGTACAGTACCTACTCAGCATTCATGAATGATGCCATGAAACATCACAATCATTACACTTAGCATGACAGTGACCACATAGCTGACTTTCTGTTAGTGCAAAGCAAGAGACTGATGGATAAGATACCTAATTCCATTGATCTTAGAACTTTGTACACTGATCAAGAAAATTTTGATAGTATTCTAGACAAAAAATGTACTACCTCATGTTTACTTTGTCACTGCAAGATATTACTAGCCCTGTTTAACATGCTCAAACTCTTCACCACACCACAATCATCAAATTAATCTTCAGCAAAGCTCACCCTCATAACCTGCATTTTCCATAGTACTGCACAATATCATGATTTAAAATGATGAAACTGCACCAACCCTTACATCCATAAGCCACCATAAATCACAACATTTCACAATCAACATGGCCATTATACGGAGTCTAGCTTGACCCAGAACCACCATATGAACAGCCCACCAACCCCATTTATACTACAGTATCTGTACTCCCAACAAACTAATCATTATACAGACTAAGGCTAAAGTAACAACAATAATATATTTTGTTCTCATCCACTCATGTTCAGAGTGATATCAATACAATACATTTATAAAAATATAGGTAACCCAAGAACAAGCATTGGGTGATATTCCAATATTATCAATCAATTCAAGATCTACAAACAATCCTTTTATGATTTAAAACAAATACAACTTTCAAACCATCAAGTCTCACAGCATGACTGTAGCCAGTGGCGAGAAACGAGCAGTCTTCAATGTAGTTAAAATTTTAAAGAATCTTAACTATTTCCTGCAGGGAAGATCATACACAAAAGTTTTGCTACCAAGGTAAATATAGAATTATGTCACCTCTTACCTTTGGTCATGAATTTAGAAAGAACAGAGACTTATGGCAATATTTATATGGTTTCTGATGGTTAAAGTATTCTATATCATGACCACCAAGTATAATAAAACATTTTAGCAGTAATCCCTGTTGGTGCTTTTTAATGATGATAGCAGATTCATAATTACTAAACTAAGATGGGTTGTAGTCACTTTAAGATACCGGGTAAGGAACTTTGAAAAACAATATTAAAGAAATTGGATTCATAGTCCAGTGAACTAGAAAGCCACAAAATCTCAGTGACTGATGTTTCATCATGCACTTGTGAGACACATAAATACATATAAAACTACTCATATTAAAAACATCCAAGTAACTTATGTGAATGTCCATCTCACCTCTCAAAATACTCACATCAAAACATCAGTTTCTTCCCTACACTCAAATATTTTCCATCGCACTATAAGTAGTGAAGTCTTGATGCCAGAGTATGAGCGTGAAGATCACAGATTGGATCACTCCCAACACAAATACGCCAGCCTAATTATCATTAGTTGCATTGAATGTTGCTATTAAGCTAATTATTTATCACAACAACTAATTTCTACAGAACCATTTATGATAACTATTGACATGGTCACAGGCGTGAGGCCTAGCAAAAATGTGCTTTTGTTACAAACCCACGTGTGGCATCACTTTCACTTTTGCCCACTCTGGTTTGTTACATAGTCCAAGAAACCTTGATCTATCATGGCAGTTAATGGTTCAATTTTAAGAAATTTGGTGGAACCTAAACTGGTACTTTATAGGTCTAAATGTAGTCTCAAATCTAAATACTGTTATAACTTATTTCCATGAATATAATTCATATACAGGTACAGTACTGTATTTGAATGACAAGCAAACATCACAATTGAGATACAACATATTAAATTACTGCATTTAATTACATACTTTAGACTGGTAGCACTGCAGTCTATCCAGTTAACAGAGAACAGAGAAGGCTTGCAGTATTAGCCCTAAACAGTTACTCGTACCACTTATAGTCTACACCACTCTAGTTTGTCACCACTTAATACCCGAGGCCACAAAACTTGCTATCGGGATTCTGTGACATATCAAGGTTTCTTGAGAATGATAACTAACACAGGCAGTAGGCATCAAATAAGCGTACTGGCGATGGGAGCGAGGGAGAGAAATGTAAACTGAATTCATTATGTACATACACAATATGTATATACCGAATATGTATATGTTTACATACAGTATAGAGCTTAAGTCTGTAATGACTAGGACTTCCAACACGATACTTGATAAATGTGTTGCAAAACGACAAGAAGTTTATGTATGTACAGACTTATTTGGAAATGTCAGTACAAAAATAAATGTAACACTAGAAAATGTACACTTTAAAAGTAACAAGCACAGAAGATGTTTTTCACAGGCTGTAGGAGGGAGGAAAGATGAGCTACTCTTGTCTTATAGAATCCTCCAAAACAGAGGTTTAGCTCACATTACATGAATCTCTTAACCTTCGTACAGTATGTCACTTTGATCAATTCTTGCTGTAACATCTATATTCCTGGTGCAGTTTTGTCAATCCCAGTTCAGCTATCTCTGATCTGATGTGGTGTCTCTATCCCTGTAGAGGTGTTTCCAGTCTCGTCTAATGTGTGTAATCCCCAGTGCGCTGTCTGTAACCCCTAATACAGTACAATGTTTATCATTGAAACATTTCCATTACAGTACATATACATAATTTGATGCTTTCACCATAATATTTGGTGCTTCTAGTCACTAATTTCGTATGCTTGATGTCTAGTTTAGTATTCATCTAGAATTTATGTTGCATCCAATCCCCAGTATTTCAAACAATTGGTGTCATCCCTGACAGACCTACCTAACTGCAGCTGTGTTTAACCCCAGAAAAGTAATAAGCACAGTTAATCCTTTTCTTTGCCACAAGATTTATATGCCAGTGTATTATTCTTTATAAAGCATAATGCAAGCCATGTGTAAAGTACTTCAATGAAAACAGAAACTGCTTAGAAATATGAAATTATCATAAACATATGAATGCTTCACTTTAATAAATAAAACTAAGAGCAAATATGGTAACTGATATTTGTGACTTAGCAGTTAAAAAATCATGTTCAATACAGATTTTTTTGGTCACAGGACTTATTCCAAGTGCTAACTCTGTACCTAAGTCTCCAGACTGATGCAATACTGTTCTGTAAAAGATTTTAGGAAGTGAAAAAAAAAATCGTCAAGATTTTACACCAAGAGATTATAACTGGTCGATGCGATACAATACACACAAACAATGGCATTACTTCATGTAAAATGGAAAACAGAGTACAGTAGTATAAATAATTCATTAGTTATATTACAGAACTTAAAAAAATTATAAAAAAGTTTGTTTCTTGAATACAACCTTCAAGGAAAACCCCACAAATAATGCAACCTTGGTGAGTTTAGTTTCAACACTCAACACTGGTTGTATGATAGCCTCTTTAAATGCATGGAAGACAGCTACACTCCTAATATGGCAATTTAAAAGCATTTTCATTCAAATACATGTGTATAAATCTTTTTTTTTAAATCTGTGCTTATGTATAACACAAAACTGCCAAAGTTCTAAGATTTAGATCTGTGCAGCATAATACCAAACAATTTAACATCTCCATAAGCAAACTGTGCAACATGTCGCTTCCAGATTATAGAATCTAAAGTTATCTCTCTTTTTTCTTGCATGAAACTCAAGAGCTGAGCACTCAATCCATCCTCCACACCATCACAGTACTAAGCTTTCCATATACTGTACAGTATAAGCCACAAAGTGCTCACCCTTAACCTTGGTTCAATAAATATTTGAAAAGCCAAACACTAAAACCTGCTTGGATAATGCTCAGTAGCCTTGCATCAACCGGACAAGTTCAGACAATTCAAATAGTTTGAAAATATTTGGTAAGGCTTGTGAGCTTGTGAGGCATAACCCATTTAAAATGTTAAAATTCTTCTAGTAGTCCAGAAGTTGCTAATATGTACATATAGATCATCAATCAGCCAGTAAGTCACCTTGTACAAGACAAAATATACGTCCTAATCAGTGAATTTGGATAACTCCATGGTGTAATCTGATTGTCCTTCTTTTAATGTGAAGATATTATTCAGGCTCTGCTAAAGTCCAGTGCTTTTGAGATCACCCTATACATAAGCAACGAGAGGCAGAGCAAAACATTAATTACTATCACTGTTTCACTGAATAAATATCAGAGGTGAAAAAGTTAATACAGTATACAGTACCTGTACTGTAGTTCTGTATGAATATTTTATACATTTACTGTACATTACAATAACTTGACAAAAAATCACTAATAAATAAGTAGAGTACAGTATTCCATTACACTTGCAATACTGTATCAAAATGTCAAAACTTATAATTGGTCTAAATATTAAACTTATACAAAAGATGCTTGCAAATACATATGTACCGGTATATGACACATGGAGTTTGTGAAAATGAATTTAGGTGTTCTTTATACTATATGAATATAAATTCCTTTGTTAAGATTCTTTAGTAACTGTAGTTTATAGAACAGCAGTTGCTGCTTAAAAGTTATGTGCGAAGTACTGTATGTATCCATTTTGAAAAATTATGCACAAATGTTGCTGCTACTGATATGCTTGTTATGCTGTTATGAAAAAATAAATGTGGTAAGTATACAGTATTATAATCTAATAATGATTTGCAGGGTGTGCTGGCTCCTGATGTCACAACAATATAAATAATTTAATCTTACCAGTACTGTAATTAAAAAATCTGGAGTGAGGAAGACATAAAACAATACATCTGAGAGTGGGGAAAGAAGTATAGAATCCATGTTTAATTTTCATTACAACAATTAAACAGATATTAATAGCCTGCTTAACTTATGATTAAAGGCATCTGCTTCCATCAGAAGCATATAAAGATTCAATGTGTATTAGAAAGTCAAAATACAAATACCCCCTTGGGCATAATCTGAAATCACTACTTGAGGAACTCAATGCATCAACAACAATGAACATGATTCAGTCTCAGAAGTAACCATTCGAGGTTCTCTAAACTCGTTGTGACGTAAAGGTAGTAAGTCAAGACAACAGGGCTGGGTTCTATAGCTATAGTAGATATATGAAGTTACAACACCATTAGGTACAGTTAAGGGACGATATATCCAAGGAGACCAGCTCCACCTTTATACTTTCTAGTAATTTTGAATCAATATACTATGTATGTATCTATATATGTATATACTCTGAAACAATCACAGATTAGAACCTTTACATTACAATGTATCAGCTATGATTTCAGGAGGGCTAAATTTAAAAAAAAATTTAGTCAAAAGAACAGGGTACAATGTACTCACTGTTCTATTATCCAGACTTATCTGCTGTATAATTTAGTCCATAGTACAGTGACCTTTTTTAAAGAAAACAGAAACCAGCAACCCCATATAAACTGAATTATGAGATTGTGAGGCAGAATTTAAGTCCGTGTGAGATTCTTAAATATTACATTCATGAAAGTTCAAGGTGCACTTCTAGCATAGCGCTAGTGACCACATCATTTGTTCAAGTGTAAACCAAGACTCAAGAAGAAGACAAGAGTCAAGGAGGACCTGAGACCCAAATGTGACCAAGAATAAGGGAAAGACTCAAGGTAGGCTGTAACTTAAGTGGACCTCAAGACTCATGGATGAGAGGTGATGAGGTGCATGAATCCACCATCCCCTGAGAATATTGCAAATAAAGGCAGACTCAAAAATTCTTTATAATATTCTCAGGAAAGAAAACTTCATTTCCCCTCATGTTTGGCCCAGAGCATGTTAAACTATAGGATTATGAAGAGTGATGTTTCCAGTGGATCTATGATTCAAGGAGGACATGCCAACGACAAACTTGTTCCCCTTTGGAATCTCGCATTTGATTCCAGTGAGCCAACTCTTCTTCCCCTGAGCTGTTGAGACCAAGGGCAAACCAGCCAATCATGTCCTTCCTTTTCATGCTTCTCTTAGTGTACACAGACGCCATAAGGGTAACGTCTGGAAGCTGGAACAATGCCACCTGAAATCAATTGAAACAATAACTTTAACCACTAAATATAATAAAAAATTATAAAAAAAACTTTGAAAATGGCTGTAGTTGATAATCCTCAAGATGATGAGTTTCACTTGTAAGGGAATTTTCCATAGCCAGTGCTCAGAAAATCCATCTCGGATGCATGTCTTCTGCAAGCCTTTATACAGTACAGTATTGTTATGGTGTTATGTTTCCATGCTATTATGTTGTCTTTGTTAATGACAACTCTTAAAAACCTCAGCTTTGTCAAGAGTGCTATCAAAATACTGTACAGTATTCTAATTTATATAATCGCTATCTTCACGCATCTATAATTTTTTTATTTGCATTTGTTTTACCTTCTTTTCTTATAAATTCCCAATATCCTTCTTCGGTATTCAAAATATTTTTCTGTGTTAGGTTCAGAATTACATTTTACTCAAAGATTTTCATAAAATTCTTATTCTCTTACTTTATTTTTATTTATTTTTTATTTTTTTGGTAGGCCATAGATTCGGATCATCATGCTCAAGAGTACCTATACAGAATTTAAAAGAAAATCCCAAAGATCGTGATTCGCCCAAATATGACTTTTCTCTCAGACTTTAAATTTAATAGGATTAACTAATTAAGTACATCCAGAAGAACACAAAGACACCAATCAATCACCTCAGAAACCCATAGTTGGTGAGTATTGTAATTTGCACTGAGAAAAATGTCATTAAAATATTCCATGCATCATTTTGACCACTAATTACCCTGCAATCGAATTGTAGACCATAGATTTGGAATCAGCAAGCTCATGAGTACCTATACTGTACTGAGATTTTGAACAAAATCCAATTTTGGGCCAAAATGGCTGAAACTTCAAGCTTAATGGTGAATAATATTTACACCTAACTTTTTACTTTTACCTTAATCCTCTTTGCCACTGATTGGCTCATTAGCCGCTTGGGCAGTCGGTCACGTCTCTGTTACACACTGTTGGAAAGTACTGGGCATGTAGTGGCTCCTGAATTTACAGTATCTGAACCTGCCCCAGCGTTGGTCAAGTCTAGTCTTGAAATAGCTCACACTCGGTTCCGTTACAACACTGTCTGGCAGATTGTTCCCAAGAGTTCACAATTCTCACTCCGAAAAAATTTGCCCTCACAGTTTTCTGGACTTGTAGCATCTTCAACCTTGAGTTGTGACCCCTTGTGAGGCAGGCATTTGCCAGCTCCAGGTATGGATATTCACCTGAGTAGTCCCCTTTCAGATGTTTATACACCCCAATTAGGTCACCCCTTGCCCATCTGTAGTATAAAATAGGCAGTTGCAGACGCTCTAATCTCTCTGGATAATTGAGGTGCCGAAGTGCAGACGCCAGTCTGGTGGCCCTCCTTTGGACATTTTCGACCAACTGACAGTCCCTAGCATATCCCGGGACCAGACAGGGTGATGGTACTCCAGGTGGGGAAGCAACTCACTCTGAAGATCGTTACGAGGAAAAGACCATCTAGATGTCTGAACAACCTTCTTATAAGACCTACTAGTTTAATTGCTTGATTCACGATGGCCCAAGAACTTCAGTTCATTGTCAACATACACACGCAGGTCCTTTTTGCATTCGGTCTCTATTAATGCAGTATCTTCTTCTTATTATTATTATTACCATCATCATTATTATTATTATTACTACAGTATTATTAGTATTATTACCACACAACCCCATATCCTATTTCATGAAACATTGTTCAAAATATATCTAATGGAAGTCCTTCCAAATTTTTCACTAACAGCCAACAAATTATCAAAATAGTTTTCAATATAAGAATTGCGCTGATATGCAAAGTCTCTCCTTCCCTTGCAAATAAAATCTTTGTTTACATTAAAAAGTAGCGAAATAGATTCATGTGTGATTAAGCACATAAAAACATTATTTTGAAAAACTACAATTTGAATTTACTTCTCTTTGACTGTCAATAATCAATAAGACAAAGGTGATGATGTAAATACCTCACACAAAAAGCTCACCATCTTTTAGCATTAACTGAATTACTGTACAGGATTTATTTCCAAAACTTTGAACACAGTTTTCCCTCACCTGAAACATGAAGGTTTCCTTGAACAGTGGGTTAGGTTGGCCCCTTCGGACTGAGGTTTTGCTATGGGCAATCTCCTGGCCACTGGATGACATGAGAACAAGCTTGACATAGGTGTCTGGAGCTCGGGTGTTCGCCATATTCCTGAAATCATCACCGTTCCTGTAAATGATCGCACAAGTGATTACTACAAACAGTTTAGTTTTACTTTATGGGAATCATGTTAAGTTGGGAGTTCAGTAAAGAACTTTTACCTCAATACAGATAAACTAATAAGCTTAAGAATAGGAAGAAAGCTACAATAATTACTAAGTACATATGCAGTATGGTGTGTGTGGAATACACTCCCCTGCTAAGGCTTTACATATACAGGACAGAAGTACATTGAACAACAGTGATTGACAAGGCAACTGTTTAGTATTACCCAGCACACTTTTAAACTACCTGTAAGACTGTACTGATGCATAAAGAATCCTGAGTTGGTTTGCTGATGTAGTCTAAGTACACCTATTCCATATGAAGGAATGTTTAAGATTTTATTATCCCATGATAATGTACTGAATAGCAAAATAAATTAAAATATGATTTAGATTAACAGCTCATGAACCATAATGCATCAAAGTCAGAAAGTGACTGCAACTGAAAAAGCTTTCTCTCTCTCTTTCTGCCTTGCTGCTACCACATACAACACACATAGTCATCATAAATGGTTCCTTAATTTTAAGAAATGTGATAACTGCCACGATATCTACACTTAAACCAAACCAGTCAGTACTGTACTTCACTATATAGTAGTTTCCATTCACTAGTGTTCAATACAGTTTGAATTCTAAATCCACACTTCCCCAATTCAGCCAATTGGGAAAGAAATATGACTACCACTACCTCCATTTTTTCGGATGAGATATGAAGCGACTTGGTTGTGTTTTCCAAAGACAATAAATGAGCTTGCCTATCACCACTGCCTCTCACGTTCAATCCCTGGGTTATATATGAGAAGGGTGTTATCCAGTGTGACATTACCAAACATGACAGGTTTCTTCTGGGTACTGTACTCTGGTTTATTTCTACACTAACACTGGACAATGAAGGACAAATTCTTCAAAACAATGGAGGTATTAAAAAGGCACTGGCTTCGTTCCCCTTTCAAAGTGGTAAAATAATGATTTACTAGTGCTGTAATACAGTGATATTTCTGTTAGCCGGAACAATTGGTGCAGAGCACTTCCGGGAATGAGAGATTTCCAGGTAACGAGACAGCTCTCTCAAAGCCGGAAAAAAATCCCTCATCCCCGGAATTTTCTGGGTAACGGAAAAATGTTCTCGGAAATTCCAGAAAATATCCATTAAATCTCTCGAACTCGGAAAAATATCCCCATCCCCGTAATTTTCCTGAATTTTCCGGGTACTGGAAAATTTTTCATCAAAATTTCCAGAAAATGCACCTGATTTTCATCTCTCAAACCCGGAAAACACTCCCCATCCCTGGAATTTTCCGGGTATCGGAAACATTTCTTCATAATTTTCTGGAAAATGTGCCCCTTGGAAAATTGTTCCCAAAGTAGTAATTTTCTGGAAAATTCCGGCTTTGGGAACGATTTTCCAAGAAAATTTCAATTCCGGCTATCGGAGAGTTCCGGGTTTGAGGGATTCCAGCTAACAGAGATAATACTGTATTTTATTTGTTTAACTATAACATTTAATCTCCAAGACTGGCCGACAGGTAAATGATCATGTAACTTCAGCCACTAAGCTTTTACAGTGACTGACTGACCTAAGGATATCTGTCACAATATGTAGATACCTGTAGAATAAGCAATCATCCTTTACTCCTCTGAGAATGATGATTAATCTTTTAGAATATGGGAATGTGGTACTGTAATATATTCCTATGAATGAGGTATATTATACGTCACCACAGTACACAAGAAGGGTAGAAAAAATGCAGCAGAAAACATCAGGCCAATCACCCTAATATCAGAAATATGCGAAATATGCAAACTGTTTGATAAAATTTTGAGGGACACCATCATATAACACCTTACTGAACAAGCTTATCAAAACCTCACAAAATGGTTTCGTGGAGAGAAAATCCTGCCTGACAAACTTATTCATTTCCTTGAAATGGTATCAGAATATATGGACCAAGTTTTACCAGTGGATGTGTTGTACAGGCATGGGACCAGTTATCTGGCATGTTTGGGATCTAGAGGTAAAAGGACTTTTTTTTTTTTCTTTAAGTGGCTGTGGAGCCTCTGTTCAGATCACTAGATTAACCCTTAAAAGTAGCTTTCCCTGTACTCCTTTACACTGCAACATTAAAACTTAAAATCAGAAAGCATATACAGTATACTGTATAACAATACAATAATAAAAAAATATAAAGAGCAAAAATGATACAAGTCAGTGTATACAGTACACTGCATCTCAGGGATGCTAGCCCCCTCAACGCTTGCCTTAGCAACCAGGCCAGCTGGAACACTCCCTGGCTGCCTTCCCCAGACATATGGCACCACAGGCAAAATGTTGAAGTGGATTAACAACTTGTTTGAAGACAGCCATCAGAGCATGGTCAAACATGGAGTACAATCAGAATAGAAAAAACTTCTTAGTGGAGTACCACAAGGATCTATCCTTGGATTCCTACAGTTTGTGATCTGAATTGGTAATAATGATGAAAGTATAATGAGCTACATTGTCAAGTTTGCAGAAGATACAACGATATTTGGAAAGGTGGCAAGTCAAGATGATGTCGCAACCATGAAAAAAGATCTGTCTGAGGTGTTCAAGGGTCACAAGACTGACAAATATTTTCTAACATTACAAAATATAAGACTGCATAGAATACAACAAACTTAATCACAGTGAATTATTCTGCTACTAGCACTTTCCTGGATACTGTTGATAAGGAAAAAGATCTTGGCATTGTGACAGATCAGTCACTAAAGACAGTGCAACAAGTTGTACCTTCAATTACAAAGATATGAAAATACTGCTTACATCTCTTACATCCCCATATGGGTTATTGTATACAGGCATGGAAACATTACCTCCAGAAAGACTTAGCATCCCTAGAAAAGGTGCAACACAGAGCGAGTGAGATGATTGCTGAGCTAAAGTATTTCATTCATTTAAATAGACTGAGGGCATTAGGACTACCAACTCTTCAGACAAGGCACAATAGGACATATCTCAGAGACATTCAAAATCTTGAAAGGGAAGGAAAACATGAACCCAGGCCATTTTTTTGTGTTGTCATGCATCACCATCACAAGAGGATACAACTTCAAGCTCTTCAAGATGTCACGAAGGACGAATATAAAGGGGTCAGAGCTCAAGGTTGAAGAAGCCGCAAGTCCAGAAAATTGTGAGGGCAAACTTTCTTGGAGTGAGAATTGTAAACTCTTGAAACACTCTGCCAGAAAATGTTGTGACAACACTGAGTGTGAAATAATTCAAGACCAGACTTGACCAACACTGGCGCACGTACAGATACATTCTGCAGCCAGTACAGGCTCAGTACTTGCCAACAGTGCATACTGTAACAGAGATGTAACTGACCTCTCAAATGACTACCGGGTAACGAGCTGATTGGTGGCGAAGATGATAAAGTAAAGTAACATGTATATGTACACACCACACAACCTAAATTACTTTCACCTCTGGCTGGCAGGAGCATGAAGTGTACAATCTTACTTTCAATAGGAAAGAAGTTGAAAAAAAGACTTGAAAAATTATTTGCATTTGTCTTTTAAGTTAGTTAATTCAACAGTACAGTATAGCACCTTGTTCATCCCAGACAATTAATTTCTGGCAATAAAATCTTTCTTACTTTATGTATTTTCAATGCAACATTTACAAAATCAATGCCAAACAAAAAAAGGGGGAGGTATTATTGAACAGATCATGAACCTCTCAATTTATAATAAAACCATCATTAAGTGCATCTACCTTAGTGACAAGATTGGAGAAGGAAGTGAACTTTTGTGAATAATGATAGCTGATGTTATACTGTACAAGTATACCTATATACCTGTAAGGCACAATAGGATATAGAAATAACTTAAAGCCAGGTCAGGAAAATGACAAAATTATCATAAAATGGTTTGGATTGCCTTGTTCTCTTCAGTTCACAAGGTACTATATGAATATTATTTTCCAATCACTAATTATTACTAATCAATCTGCTTCCAAAATATGTAAAATTACAACTTCACTGGCTAGCTGCTATAGTAAATGGATACAGTGAACCCTCACTTTACGCGGTCAATTGAACCCACGGCAGCCCGCGTAAAGTGAGAAACGCGTAAAGTGAACAACATAACATATGGGATTAATTGAAATAGAGACCCGGCCAACCCCCAAACTCCACTTTTTCAGACACAATACCTACGTTGTAGTAAAAATGACTTCTTCATTTTATGATGGTATGCACACACAATTAATAATTAAGAGAAATATCAATAATATTCGGTTTTTTAACACTTACATTAGTAGAAAAGATGGCTGGGCACACGGGGATGGGGGGTTGGTTCCGAGGCAGAGGGCAGATTATTGGCCCTCACCTGTATCACTTGTATCAATTGTATCACTATCCACCACAGAGGCTTGCAGGGCCTCTTTGTCAAACCCCTCAAAGTCCATATAAGTCCATATCCTCACTATCATTATCACTATCACTGACTTGGGCCGGCTGTGGTGGGTGGTGGGTGAAGAACTAGGTAATGTTTTGATGACTGGGCCACCTTGTGCGCACCCTGCTCGCGCCGCTCTCCGTGTAAATGGGTACACACACCGCGGAAAGTGAGCATTCCGTGTTCGGCAGGGTACCGCGTAAACGTGGAAACGCGTAAAGTGGGACCGTGTAAAGCGAGGGTTGACTGTATATTGCTGCACTGTCTTGGGAATCTTATGATAACACAAAAAAGGTCAACAAAACTGACATCAGTATAAAACCAGACTGGATTTACTTAAGCATAAACTGTAAGTCACAGTGACCCATTTTGATTAAGATATTTTAGAAACAATTTAAATGTAATACTGTACTTTATGGTTAATTCAATCATGAAACGTAATTCACAGTAATTTATCTGGCACGAGAGCAAAGTACTCATTAAGAAGTATTCACATACCAAGTCTTATACTGTATTATTATAAACAGCACCTAAAAATTGAACCCAAAGGCCAAAGCTAACCAGATTTACTTAATCCAAAAATGTGAGTAATTTTGGTCTAATTTAGGCATTTACATGGAATACAGACTGTAAAGTATTCATACAGACACAAGCTCACATCAAGTCTCAACAATATAATTATGAACAGCAGTGCCTAAGACAGCAGCTTTGATAGGAAAATTGGAAATGTGTGTTTGGAGAAACTTGACTGACACAATGTTTATCTCCTTTTACTTTGTTCAGTCTAGGGAAAAAAATGAGAACAATATTTCCAGGTGTTTTTGAAATACAAAGTCCTATATAAAAACCCTTCAGTAGTTAGTTCAAGACTTCTTTGCACATGAAAAGCTTAAGTTTGTTAATACAGTGTACTGTGCTGAAAAAAATTTTTCATGATGTGTTAACCTGATATAAGGCATACAAACAAAAACTTGTGTTTTTCACAGAATTATGGATGCATCAAATTTGGATAGATAAGGTCACAAAGAATATGAGCACCGAAGAATCTAAGAACCTTAAATTAATTAATGGTGAGTTGATCAGTCCCAACCATTGTAAAAATTAGCAATAGCTTGTAATAAACCAGTGTATTCACTCCCAGTAAACACTACTCCTTGCACTGTCACTGTGTTGAAATGAACTGTAGTTTGAGCTTTTCCCCATCTAGTTATTATATAATATATCTTATTTGTATCACTTATGTTACTTGTATATTATTTGTAATTCGAAACCCATTCCCCAAATATGTAACTGTATATTTTCAGCCTTCTGGCTGCCAAGCTCTTTCAATAAACCGTTAATTATTATTATTATTATTATTTATGTGCATGAGGGAGGTAACAGAAGGTGGTAAGTACCTCACCTTCGACTAAAACACACTCCCAGTTGTACTTTGTATCTGACAGTGGGTGACAGTGCGACACATCAGGTGTTCCTTCACCATCTCCATACCAAATAACCAATTTGCAAATATACTGTATCTTAAGTTCAAAATCCCTTATATAATCGACTAGCTTTCATTGCCGGAAAAGACTGACAAACTGATTGAAGCAATTGAGATGATTTCCTCTAAAAAAGCCAATTGCTTAGCTCCAGTAGGCTACCTACTTACTTTCAGTCTTCGTTTAATCTGTTAAATTTGCTGTCATGAATTTACATGTGGCTATATGGATTGTATATAAAAATAACTTTTTAAATCTTGAAAGTTACCGGTACTGAAAGTCAATAAAAAATCTTTTTAAATACAACACTACAAACTTTTTCTTGGAGAAATGCAGTTTGATAAGAATTAAGAACAAATATATACACACACACATATTTTCCCTCCATTAACTGTAATCATTAATTTTTACTGTAGTAAATTATGTGTTCTGCTATAATATCCACTTCCACAAGAAGTCCCCCAAATATCCAATTGGCTTACCCTTTTCACCATACACAACCTTCCCAAAAATCATTAATATTCGTGCATATTGCTGCTTCCTGAATGTTTATTTCCCTCACTATTAGAGCATCTCTCACCTATCTTCCCATGGTCTGCCCCTCTCCATCCTATCATCCATCAGTAAATTATACTGTACACTCTTTTTACCAATCTTTCACTTCTAAATTTCTCAACATATTCATACCACCTGCATAAACCTGGATCTGCTCTCTACCCTATTTCTTTTCATTCTGAAATTAGAGTATTGTACTGTACAATATTCTTTTCAGCAAAGGGTACCTTTTATATTTCTAGGTTAATCATATACAAACTTTGATTAAAATATTTGAAACAGCTCTGATTTATAAATTCTGAAAGAGGAGCAGACAAAACCCATTTATACAACCCAGTCCCCTAACTCTGCTGTGTGAGAGATAATAGTAACACATACATTTCACTTCAAAAGTGTGCAAGATTTTCTCTTGATACACAACCCAACCTTCTCTCACCCACAAACCCAATATGTAACTGATAAGAATTAAATCTCTGTCCAAGTTTTCTTAATATGATTTCATTCCAGATTGGGCTGTAAAAAATATTTTTTTTCACTTCATTCTTGTAATATCAAGCAGAGGGACCCACTACATAATAACAATACCTCTGAAGAACTGCAGTATGGACAATGCTTGAGCAATCTCTGAAATGTACAAAACCAAAGTCCACTTGATTTGACTGGCAGGAGTAAAATATTTGACTTCCCTGAACTAAATGTATGATGCTTCAACAAAATAGCCAGTGTCTCTTGAATGTCTTTATAGTGATAACGTCCTTGTGTTTACATACCTTTTAATAGCTCTGTAGTACGAAAATAATGTTAAAACTTCTATAGTGCAATGGATTATAGCACAACCATAAGATATGTCACCTATGTAGTGAAAATGTAAAGCATGGCTACTAACAGTGAAGTACAGAAAAAGATAATACACCTGTACTAGTAAATGTTACAGTAACATTACACAGAACTCATTAAATTTTACACACAATGTTACTGAGGAAAACATGCACCACCATTTGTGTCACTGGATGCATAACACCCAAATCAAACAATAATAAAACATAAAATGCAAAATCTTAATTAGAGTTTCTAAAGAAAAAAGGAGCTAGGTAAGCAGACTCATAACTGACTGTAATGAGATCATGCAGGTCAATGAGCACATACCATATCCTGGCTATAGGTCTTCTTGAGACATAATGTTTGTCTAATAAGTATTGAATAGACACACAGCTATCAGAAAATATATACTGTATACCATTATAACCAACATTCATATATTGATCAACAGTGATGCACAACTTTAACAAGCATGATCCTATACAGTCAGTTTGATTACTAGTGTGTTGAACATACACACTAACCTATCCTTGGAAGCCTCCCATAAAATTATAATGAAGATTATTTAATTGTGTTATTCTAGTCTGAAAATATCACAAGCTCAACATGGAGCTCTCTACCATAATATCAATAATTCAGAATGCTTCTTTGAAAAGATTTAAGCATATTTCAGTTCTTATATTTCAAGAGAAAGTTACAAGAACACTTATCTACATCATTAAATTACCCCAAAAAACATTAATTGTTTTAAGGTAAATGATCCAGTGTGATGGTGTACACTTTATGGAATATGTAAGATTTATGACAGCACTAGACTCTCTACAATTTTGGGAGATTCTGATATTGTATGAACTGATCTGTGTGAGAGCAGATAGCAAGAGGCTGTGAACCTCAAGACTGGGCCACGTAGATGAACTACAGTAGGAATCAGATTCCCATGGCATATAAGTCTAGGGTATTGAATTCCTTGTTTTTTCCTCTGAGGACAATAATTAGCTAGTTTGTCATCAAGCACCGATTATAGTAAGAGGACATTTATAATTCATATTTGTGCATTTATTTCATCATCTGATAACTTACAGTAGAATATGGAAATTTATGGTACAGTATTTTCAACATTAAATATGACCATAGCTTAATACTGTACTCTTCCTGGCCTGGTATGTCATACTGCCAAAATGTGAAAACAAGTTCTCTTCTTTATTAGAAGTGCTATAAATATGGAGGGAAGATGAGGAACCTGCCCTATGTAGGTCTTACATCATCCCTACTAATTTTAAATTTGGGAAAGACAATGAGGAGGTTTTCCAATTAATGCCACTACTATAAAATAATGGGGTGGGATGGGGGTGCCCAACCTGGGGTCTCATCCTCACTATTAGTGCTAGTTCACAGTGGGTGAAGGGAGGGTTCTGCTATAGGCAGTCTCTTGTCCTCACCATTACTTAAAAGTCCTTGTTGCATAATTCTGCATTCAAAAGGATAACATGAATTCAATCTGTTTAAGAAATTGGAAAATACAGTATATACCAGTATCTCTATTTTCTCATTATGAAATATGTGTATACAGTAATGGAGAGGACTTAGTACTTGGCAATCCAGTCATAAAAAAAATGACTATTAACCACCAATGACTGATTTACCAAGCTAATGAGAGAAAGAACTAGGTCTAAGTCAACTTGGGGTATCTGGACTTGGGGATACCCTGATATGGGTTTATCTTAACATGAAGCTATCTTAACAGTGGGGCTATTTTAACACTGGGCAATCTTAACATGAGGCTCTTCTTAGTCAAGACTAAATTAAGATGGGGTACAGTGACGGCTAATGAACCTCATGATTGGCCCCACTCGACGAATATCTCGGGGTAAGACGCGCCACAGCACCGGCGGCATAACACTGTCCACGTCGTTACTGCAACACATAGGGAGTGATGCAGGTCAGCTAGATGGTTATGCCACCTTCACTTACAACACTGTTCTCTGAGATTTACTACAGTACCTTCACAAACCATAATTACAGCACTTAACTTAATATTAAACTAATACTGTACTTTCCTTGCATAATTTACAAACATGCTAAAAAAATTGTCAATTATACAGGTATAGATGGAACTGTTCATCTGGTGTCCCAGTATCTGGAATGGTAAAAAAAAAAAAGAAAAAAAAGGCTATGTTGAGGAAAAATCATTTAAAATTGGTGCCAAAAGTAATTCCCGGGCTGAGCAGGGATATTTCTAACTAATCCCCACCTGTGAACTATATGTTATGTTATGGTTATATTTCAACTCGTAATTTTGGGTAAATACAGGTACAGTGAACCCTCACTTTACGCGGTCAATTGAACCCACGGCGGCCCGCGTAAAGTGAGAAACGCGTAAAGTGAACAACATAACACACCGGTATGGGATTAATTGAAATAGGGACCGGGCCGACCCCCAAACTCCACTTTTTCAGACACAATACCTACGTTGTAGTAAAATTAACGTCTTAATTTTATGATGGTATGCACACACAATTAATAATTAAGAGAAATATCAATAATATTCGGTTTTTTAACACTTACATTAGTAGAAAAGATGGCTGGGCACATGGGGATGGGGGGTTGGTTCCGAGGCAGAGGGCAGATTATTGGCCCTCACCTGTATCACTTGTATCAATTGTATCACTATCCACCACAGAGGCTTGCAGGGCCTCTTTGTCAAACCCCTCAAAGTCCATATAAGTCCATATCATCACTATCATTATCACTGACTTGGGCCGGCTGTGGTGGGTGAAGAACTCGGTAACGTTTTGATGACTGGGCGACCTTGTGCGCACCCTGCTCGCGCCACTCTCCACGTAAAAGGGTACACACACCGCGGAAAGTGAGCATTCCGTGTTCGGCAGGGTACCGCGTAAACGTGGAAACGCGTAAAGTGGGACCGCGTAAAGCGAGGGTTGACTGTATATGTAATTTCTTCATTTTCTATACTGTACTCAGTTACATACTTTTACCTTATTTAGTTTTATTCTCTTCACCACTGATCGGCTCGTAAGTCGCCTGGATGGTCGGTCAAGTCTCTGTTATACACTGTTGTCAAGTACAGTAAACCCTTGTTAACTGAAATGTACTGTACTGTAGTGCAGTGAGCCCCCCCATCACCTCTGACACCTACCACAGAGCACCATAAGCCTGAATTATCCTCATCCTTCACCTGCAGTGCTGGTAGGCATTATTTTTTGTGCATTTTACTGACTATGGTAGGTTATTTGGCCAAAAAGTTGGGTAATGGGGTGGGACAAAAGACTTGGAAGAATGGAATAGTTAGAACCCCATTTATTCTGAGTTAACAAGGGTTTACTGGGCATGTAATAGCTCCAGAATATATCTGTACCTGCACCAGTGATGGTCAAGTTTGGTCTTGAATGATCTTGAACGAGCTCACACTCAGTGCTGTCACAACACTCTTGCAGAAAGTTCATCAAGTTTACAACTCTCACTCCAAAAAAGCTTGCCCTGACAATTTTCCAAACTTGTGGCTTCTTCAACCTTGAGCTGTGATCCCTAGTGGGGCGGGCATCTGCCAGCTCCAGTTATGAACACTTGACTGTTTATAAACTTCATTTGAATCACCCCTTGCCTACCTATAGTATAAGCATGGCAACTGAAGGTAACTGGGTAACTGAGGTGCCATTGCACAGGCACAAGTCTGGTGATCCACCTTTGCACACTCAATCTTACATGTAATAAAAGATTTTAATTTGTTTTTTAAATTACCATAAGGCATTCGGGGCATATTATTTTTCAACTCGGGTAGATACGCATAATTTTCTTAATTTTCTTTACTCAGTTACATGCACACACAATCCTACATAAATAAAGTGCAAAAAGAAATAATTATCATAAGGTATAAAGTTTTACTGTATGTATATACGGGTTTACATCCATGGAGCTGTGTTGTGAGTGTGTGAAGAGATCGGAGGGTTGGTGGCAGAGCACCATTGCGAAGGAAACTGGTGAATTGCTATGCAGGGGCGGATCCAGGAATATCAAAAGGGGGGTTCCAAGAAGTTGTGGGTGGGGAAACATGATACGCACAGCAAGCCCACCCAGCTGGGAAGGTTGGGAGGGGGTGGGGAGGCGCTGTAAGCCCCACGGAAATTTTTTGAAATCTGACCAATATCATGGGCATTTTCAGGCCATGTGCACTTGATATTAGGAGATATTTTGAGGTCAATAGTAATTGCCTTTTACTATAAAAAAATGCCTGAGTAGAATACTGCATTAAAGAAAAAGTACTGTATTGGAATTTTCTGATGAAAAGGGGGATCCAGACCCCCCCAGGATCCACCCCTGTTATGGAGAGTATCAGGGATGACAATGATGCAGTTTGTACAGTGTAACATTTTTGCTCTTTTTAAGCTTTAATTACTACTGTACTATTCATATATGTTTTTGTTATTGCTGTTTATGTCCCTATAATTTTACATTTTAAAGTTACAGTGAACAATTAAAGCCAGTTCCATAAGGTTTACTCAAAATTTTGTACATTTTAGGCCTGGCACTCCAAATTCTGGAAGAACCCTTATCATGAAACCCCCCAGGTCCCAAGCACGCCAGATAAATGGTCCCATGCATGTAAATAAAAAAAAATTGCTGCATACAGAAAATGCAAAAAGCTCTGAATATTCTTCAGCAATCATTAACAATAAAGTACTGTACTGTAAATTACATTTTTATGTGCAATAGGCAATGGGGTCACACTGAGCCTAGAGGTCCAACATTTTCATCATGAATATTTCTATTTGCTGAAAGGATGGAAAACTATAACAAAATTGATTTACGATATTGCTGCTTTGTATTTTTGCTAAACACTGTACAGTATACTCAAATTTATTTTAAATTTTCTGAAAATTACAATATATGATTGCCTTTTTTCCTTGTTTACTTGTAAAAATTGCTGTAATTTATAGCAATTTGTATGTTAGGAAGTCAGAAAGAATACTGTATACTGTACAGTACTGTACTGATGGGTAATAAATGAGAGATGTTAGTTAGTATAGCACTCATGATGATTGTGATTCTTGCTTGTGGTTTAATCTTCCATTTCAGTTTAGGGAAGGATTTTGTTGTGTGTTAAATGATGAAAGGCTTTATCTGTTCCTTTGGTGTGCAGCTAGCAAAAGTAACATTTTTCATCAAAAAAATGAAACCTAATTTCGACACCAGTTGCTGTAAATAATACTTCGTTCAGTGTTACCGATTGTTCTGGTGCTTGTTGCATTTTGGACAAAACGTTTGATTTATGGTAATTGGAGATTGGGTTCTATGTTTCATATATACGGTATATTGGAGGATTTTATTCCTTATTCCATCATAAATACTGAACTTGGATTTGATCCTCTGTTCATAACATATGTACAATTTGGTTAGTTTTTCATGGATAAATGGAGGATGTGATCATTTATTCAATGATGAAAGAAGATTTGATCTCTTTTTCCATGGTGAATACAGGATATGGGCCTCTGATCTATGGTGATACAAGAATTTAATACAGTAATGAACTTCATTACAGATGACCTCATCCTTTGTTTTACATTGGAAGGATATTAACCCATCATTCTACACTGGAAAGAGGACCACAATACATATACAGTATCATAGTTAGATCTCCTTCAACGTAACAGGATCACAATTCATGCAGCGTCCTTTGAGACAAACTTCATATCATGGTTGAATTGAGTTTATACTAAATTTCACGTGGATGGGATATGGTGTTGGAGACGGGTATCATACAGATCTGGCAAAACCATATCATTACAGGGATGAGTTGAAAGAGCAAGCAGTCATGCATGTCTGCTTAATATAGACTGGTGCATTCTTTCCCCAAGCTCAGTGAAAAAGAAATGAAAGCAAATATTTGACAGAAACACATATCATTTACCCATACTCATTGGTTAAACAGTAGAAACTCAACAGTCTGGGATTCAATTAACCACAAAATCTATGGTAATTACAATATTAGCAAATTTTCACTCAGATGAAAGTACAGTATCAGCAAAAATTTAGATAATTTCCAGGTATAGATAGTACAAGTAAGGTGTGGGAGGTGGCGACTAAACTCTTTTTTTTTATTAACATTAAGCATCAGGGAACATGGAGACTTTACACGAAGTCTCATAATTCCCATTCAGTGAAATTCTGTGATATGATTCTAGTGAACCTGTACAGTAATAAAAATTTCATGCTATCATAAGTGTGAATAAGTGATGAATGACTAATTTGTTTATCCTGTTATGTTCACAAATTTATTTTATTCAATTTTGTTTTGTGGTAATTGAACAAATCATAAAAAAAATTCTGTAAATAAATGACGGACATAGATTATGGAATGTCTTTATAATGGACCTTATAGATCAATAATAGTATAGGTGCACATAAAAAATATTAAAGCTAACCTGTCCCTTATATCAATTAAAAAGGATTTCCTATGCTAAGGGCAATGATATTGTAATGTGACACTGTCCATTAACTACCTGTACTGCCTAATGAAACAAACTTCATGCAGCACATACATAGCAGCAGTTGACTCACAGAGCCACCACCACCTAATAGTAACAACCATCCCAAGTACACATACATAAGGCCCAATATTAAAAGATGTACAAGATCTAGAATTTATTACTTTAACCTATAGAACTGTGAAGGCCCACCCCAGAGAAGATCTTTGTTATAATAAAAAGTTCATTTACACATTTAATTTTAGCTTTTAACCCATGAACCAGTAACTTTTCTCTTGGTATCACTGGAGGTAATTTGGTTTATTTATAAAACTTCTCATTATCAATAATTCAAAGTTAAATTTTTTATCTTAAAAATTTGAAGATTTATATAAATTTTAGCAGCCCCATAACAGCTTCTGTTACAGGGGTATTTTCTTTATAACCTTTTCTTATTTTGCAAGAAATTTTGCTATTAAGAAATATGAGAAAAACACAGCAAATAAATAAAAGTAAAACAACAACAGTTTTGCAGTATATTCAGTTATTTCACTTTAGTAAGAGCAACAATCAGGTTCAAGAAATTGCACATACGAATTACAGTGGAGTTGTGATAATTTGCGAAATACAAATTCGTGAGGGTTACGAACGGGTTCCGTTCCTGAGGACATTCTTTAGTCAAATTTGTAAGTAAGTCGAAACACATGCTATGTGCATACCGTACTTACAGAACAATGTTTAAAATCCCACTATATCATAGCCTAAGTCCTTATATACATCTAAAATCACTTAATTTAAGACAAAAGAAGAAATAGAATGACAAAATACAGTAAATGAAAATAAAAAATAAGTCATCAGGTAAATAAAATATGTACTATAATTTCAAGTTTAACCCTGTTTGTATTGGTGGGCATTTATAAGAAAGGGCTCCCCTGTACTTCTATTACTACCTCTTTTTTCTTTCTTTTTTTTTGTTAAATATTCATAATTTGTGGGCAAGTGCTGGCTGCCACAGTATTTATTTAAATAAGAAACAATAAAAAGTTGTGGAAATATAATTTAATTGCTCTATCTTCAGTGAGAAATAAAGAAAATACTGTATAATATAAACATCACTTCAATTCTCTAATGTGACTTAGAAATAAAGAAAATGTAATATAAAACTATAAAATGAAAAGTAGCACTGCACTGCAATTGAACTGTTTGTGGGAAGATTGCTATTGGGGGGTGGACTGAGCATCCACCTCCCTCTCCTTCTCATTCCCGAGCTTAGCGCAACCCTCAAACCTCATTAATACAAGTTCATGCAATTTCACCATAATTCCAAATTATTTACTAGATACATTTGGTACCAGGTTAATAAAGCATTAACATAAAAAAATAAAAATAAAAAAATCCCACACTCAACCCGATGAATTATTGTGTAGTATTAAATTCCTGGTTCTTTGTTGACATATTGTGGTCCCAGCCAGCCTAACACCTTCCTGTCTCGACGTTGGTGAATTAGTGTAACCCGCACAAAATTATGAAAAGGGAAGGAGCTATGTGTGTAAAACGAATAGAACTGCAATTTGTACAATATCTGTGTTACTGTATTTTTTTTATGTATTATGTATGATGTTTAGTGTTTATTACGGCAGTTTTGGAACAGTTTGTGGGTATTTTTTGGCCTCTGGAACAAAATTTATTACTGTATTTCTATTTTAATAAATTGAACTACAGTGCTGTATAATTCTTAATTTGATAATTCACAATGTCTTCTGGTACCTAACCCACAAATTATCAAGACTCCACTGTACAAAAAAAGAATTTCGAAATTTTAGTTTTTCAGCAAATTGTTAAGAAATGGATCATTCTGGTGGAGTGTAGTTCTTATTTCTGTTTCTTTTTAAATTGTAACACGAGCAACTCTAAGGCAATGGACTGGAAATAAATGAAGCAACATTACGAATGACCTGTGATGGAGAACTAGCAGAAGAAATGTGTTAAATTTCTAGGGAAAATATGTCAATATATGTGAATAAGTTTTCTCACCTGAAGTGTGACCCCTTAATGACCTCCACTGCCAGCCTTCCTGTGGTGCCATTGTACGTCAGTCCTACCAGTAGTTCTGGGACACCACTATGGACTGAGTGGTTTGAGCCTGTTGAGTCACTCCGCGTCAAACTGCACACCTCTGTTCGGCTTTCTGTTCGCTAAAGAAGAAATTCAGATACACTATTATGAAATAATCTTCCCAGGTTACTGAACAGCAAAGATATAAAAGGGAAAGTGATAGAAACAGAAATAGGTGCAGTAAATGTTAAAATTAATGTAATAAATTTAGTTTGAGAAGTTTTGGAACTGCTGAGCTGTGTGTGTGTTACATAGGGGATGATGCAGACAATTAAAGTAATATAAAAATATCTTTCATTGGCAATTTCAAATAATATAAATGATGGAATGATCCTGAAAATCCCATTTCATAGCAGAGACTAGACTAGACAATTCATGAATCCTGTACAGGAGGCATGGGCAACCTTTCCTCAGTCATGGACCGCATTATGATTTAGGTATATTTCTGCGGGACTATCCACCAAAATTTATAACCTACCTAACCCAAAAGTAATGTTAATATTGTGATAGCACGGACAATGAAGCAGTTTATCGTCACGTCCACCTTACGATATTTTCAGTTTAAAATCACAGTTCCTATTTATGAAACAAATCTATCATAATAATTTTTAAAGTAAATGTTAATGTTTCTTGGCATTTAACATACGATGAGTGAAACAGTCTGTGAATACGTTGATTTTTCCTAGTTACAGCATTTTTCTTGCTTATGAGGCACACCCACCAGAATAATGCCAATGTTAACCTTGGCATATGAGGAACTACAATGATGCAACCTATAGGCACATCTCTCTCTATATACAGTACAGTGATATCCCTGTTAGCTGGAACAATTGGTGCAGAGCACTTCCGGGAATGAGAGATTTCTGGGTAATGAGACGACTCTCTCAAAGCCGGAAAAAATCCCTCATCCCCGGAATTTTCCGATTAACGGAAAAATGTTCTCGGAAGTTCCAAAAATTGCCCATTCCATCATCTCTCAAACCCGGAAAAATATCCCTCATCCCCGGAATTTTCTGGGTAATGGAAAAATGTTCCCGGAAGTTCCAGAAATTTCCCATTACATCATCTCTCGAACCCAGAAAAATATCCCTCATCCCCGGAATTTTCCGGGTAACAGAAATTTTTTCTTAGAATTTCCAGAAAATGCGTCTGATTTTCATCTTTCAAACCCGGAAAGAAACTCACCCATCCCCGGAATTTTCAGGGTATCAGGAAAAATTTCTCGTAATTTTCCGGAAAATTCTGGGTGGGAACGATTTTCCAAGAAAATTAAAATTCCGGCTATTGGAGAATTCCAGGATTGAGGGATTCCGGCTAACGGAGATAATACTGTATACAGTATTGTACTGTTTAGTATATGAACATATATATTTTAGCAATTTCAACCCAAATTTGATTTAGTTGAAAATCTCGGTATAGGTACTCCTGAGCATGCTGATTCCGAATCTATGGTCCACGATTCGATTGCGGGGTAATTAGTGGTCGAAATGACGCTTGGCAGATTTTAATTACATTATTTCAATACTTAATACTCGCCAACTATGGGTTTCCGAGTGCGATTTTGGTGTTTTTGTGTTATTCTGGAAGTACTTAATAAGTTAAGCTCTGTGTGACCACCGCCCGCGACCCCACTTGGACTTACCCAACTTTAGCTAATTCCCAAGTGACCCACTGCCACATAGCAGCTAATCCATGAAAGAGACCGCGCCGAACATGGTCCGTAAACTCACACAAGTTAAAATGTTTATATTGTTGACTATATATGCTTATTTCACTGTTACAGCTTCATAGTTACGTACTCTTAGGTGATGAAACAGTAACGAATTGTGTGTGAAGATAATTCTTTTTATAAATATTGCTTTACCCACCATAAACTAGCTGCATATACCTGAACCGTGGCCCACATTAAGTAGAATTTCTCAATCACTCCACGGGCCGCACCAACACATGGTCCGGGCCGCAGATTGCCCATGCCTGCTGTACAGTATAGTCACCATCAGGTCTCTGGCTTTAAAACCAAGCAAACTACTGAGAGCTAAAACTGTAGTAAAGAAGATAAACAAGTTAGTGACAAACTACTCATAGGCTGATATCTTTCTGATATAATCATTGCCAATGAAGACTGACAGGGCATGCCACCAAAATTTGTGTGTGCACTCCATCAGACCATTGTTGCTGGCCACATTGGCTTTACCAAGAACAAAAATTAATCCTGCTAAATTTAACTTTATGACAAACCCACTGAGAAGAGGGAGGCTATGCAAGCCACCTTGTAAAAAAGTTGTTATAAAATGGGATTTGCAGGGCCAATTACATACTGTACTGTACTGTACTATTTTATAATCTCATGGCTCTTCTAGGTACAGTGTACTGTAATTCATCCATCTCAATCCATTAAGTAAAAGGCACAGATTGTAAAATGAACTCTGGGTGCAAATATGACATGCAATCCACAATGGAAGGTAACTACAGTATGTTACAGTTACAGTATGATACACATCCCTCATCAAACTAACTCCCTCAAAACCTCACAGTCAAGTGATAAGCAAGGGACTGTAACAACAAAATCCACAGTCAATTGCCAGGTGCCAATTTTAAGAATGGGCTTAAGGGTCATGCTCCTCAAGAAAAATATGAATGTAGTGGTGCCCCTTGTCATGAACCTAGTTGTTTAAATGACAAATGCAGTCAAAATATGTCAACTAATGAAACTCTAAACTTTGAACTGTGATTCCAAAATTAGAGTCAATTGATGAAACTGCTCTATAAGCCTGATACAGTACAATCATTGACTGGCTTCACTAGACAATGGGTGTGATGAGAACTCAACAAAACTTACTCTTACACTGAAGATTACTACAAAAATAATGTCCCTGATGGAACACATATGACAAATCCTGGTCCTGAAAACTGCCACTTTAGACAAGCTGACTAAATGAAGTACCCTCTGTTGAACATCTTCCTTGAAGCTGTATAAGTTCCAGAGAACCAAGAAACCTTTGATAAAAGAGTTTGAAAACTCTTACAGTTCAGAATGCATTAGTGATTTCTCCCTGATAATGAACTGGTGATCCTAGGGAAAACCTTCTTCTGTAAATACATGTATCTCTTCCAAAATCTCTTTAACCCCTTCACTATGGGGATGCCACTTTTGACATCTTATTTGGCTAATGCCAGACAATTTAATTCAACTCAAAGGGGAGCCGATACATAAGGGGTTAAGATGACTGAGAATTTTTAGGGGAAAAATTATTCCTAGATTTAATTGATACATACAGAGGATGAATGGCAAAATAGCCTAAAACAGCCAGTCAGACTATTTTGCTGTGACTGGTAATTTAGCCACTGCTTAATAATAATGTGTAATGGTGATGGTCAGGAGAGAGAAAACTTGTCAGATAATATATCAAGAGTTAGCACAGACAAAGGTGAGGAAGAGTATCAAAAGCTGGGATACACAATATATTATACAGTATTCTAATCATACAATACAGGGTATATTTATCTCGTTTTTTTTACTGTAGTAACAAGTCACAAGAAGCAAACTATTCACTCAATCAGTACAATCAGTACAATTCAGTACAGTACACCTTTTCACATATCCGTTGAGACACTGTTACATAACTATTTGACAAATTTCAAAACCGAATGACAGAACACATATCGAATGACAATCTAAAATAACTGTTCGTTCATGCTAACGGAAGTGATTGATATAAGTTATGAAGTTGACAGATGTGAACAATAAACCGACAGTCTACATATAGTTTGAGAATGTAACAATTGGAGAATGACATACCACCAACAGTTATTTTAGATTGTCATTCGATATGTGTTCTGTTATTCGGTTATGAAATTTGTCAAATAGTTATGTAACAGTGTCTCAACGGATATGTGAAAAGGTGTATTTCTATTCACTTAAATATTTCTAAGTGTAACAAAAATATAAAGTTAGATTAAAGTTAATGTATGTATTTACATGTACAGTAGTTGAACATCAGGTGCAGTAGCAACTCCCAGTGTGTACACGTGTGACTTACTGCGAGGTTGGCTCGAGGCTCCAGAGTTAGCCAGAAGGTATTGCCCAGAGTGAGGTTGATGGAGGCAAAAGGAACGATCACCTCTCCTACCATCTTTTCCCGTCGCATGCGTTCACATCCATACAGCCTCAGCCGCACACCCAGTTGCTGAACTTCCTCTGCAACACACAAAATTGTTTCAATATACAGTACAGGGGAGGGGGGGGGCCCACACATTCGAGGATTTTTATTTCACGGTCCTCTATTATTCGCGGATGACACTCTGGATGTACTCAAGAATGTCTGTGGGTAGTTTTAAAGTTGCCAGCATTTTTGCAGCTGGGACAGGGAGCCATTTCCTTTACCTGTACAGTATTGTAAATATGTGTGTGTGTGTGTGTGTGTGTGTAGACACTTGTAATACAAATAAATAATAATAGGAAAATACTCACAAATAATGTGAAAAAAAAAATTAAAAATGTCAGTCTACCCTCAAGTCCGTGCTTTATTTATTAAAGCACAGACTTGAGGGTAGACTGCCACATTTTTAATAAATTTTTTGATTATTTTTGAAGGTATTTTCCCATTATTATTTATTTGTATGTGTTTTTTGTGTGTCTGCACCCATACACACATATACAGTATACAATACAGGTAACAGAAATAATTGTCCTAAGGTCAAACACATAAAAGGAATATACATTTCTTTGTACACAAGTAAAAATGTCCCCCAGTCATGTTACGTACGAGCAATACGAACTATTAGCAAACAAGGCAACTCAAAAGGTGACAGTGTGATCTAATTGTTTTAGTCTTTCCTTTACAGGAAATTTTCTGTTATCCTAAACTGGGTAAGCTGTGATGACAGATTGTATATAAACCATTCTGCTTTAATTCAGGCTCAACCACAAGCAAACTGACCCAGATAAAACTGCTTGAAGACTGGCCATAAATAACCTTGTTGACACTCTATGAAATGACTTTATTTAACTCACCTGGGTTGATCTTGGTAAAGACAAAGGCTTCATTAAATTGTGGGTTGTCTCCTGGCCTAATCCGGGTCTTGTGTTTTTGTTTACGTGCTGGCAACAGTAGAACCCGCACCTAAAAGAAGGGAGCAATCAGACATGGCTATCATCATGTTGACTTTGTGAACACTAATATACATACATACAGTATAATTAAAATACAATATGCAGTAAACACACTAGTTATCATTAACTTTCATCCGTGCCACGTTCTTCTTTGGAAATTCAACTTAATGGGCACAGTACAGTCAGTTCTCCTATAATGCAGTGGTTGTGTTCCTGATAACACCGAGTCATAGAAAAATGGGAATTAGGCGGTAAGGGAGTACTTTAGTAGGATCAGGTACACCAACATAACTGACAAATTTTCTTTACATTTGTTATATTATTGTTAGTTATTATGTCCTTTTATAATACCATAGTTGTATTTTAGTTTGATAATGCAATTCATTAATAGAAAAAAACATTAAAAGGGAGAAAATGGTTGTTACAGTGTGTTTCTGTGGCACCACACTAAGAGTTTTTCAATCATTTTCTTGCAACAATTTTCTAAAGATTATAATTTTTCTGAGAATGCCTTGTCACACATGCATTGAGAACTAGCGTGCCAGTCTTTACACACTCATCAATTGTATCATCTCTAGGGTGCCACAGTACTTATATTCTCTATTATAAATTCTTCGGACAGACATGTTCACAGAGGAATGGATAAAGATGCCATGAACAGACCGCTTAATGTAAACAAATCTATCAGATGTATTGACAAATATCAAAATCAATAAAAAAAATTACACTGAAGCAATTTGTGAAAAATGCAATACAGAATACTGTACTCTTTAAATTAAATTTAGTTAGTTTATGTGGCTCAATATATATTTCATATAAATATCCTTATTATCGAGTATAGATCTTGACTTGACCACGGAAGTTGGTGCAAGCCAATCAGAGGGAAACGATACATTTCGTCTGACCGAGATGCTCTAGGAAAATTGAACTCATGGAAAAAAATGACAGAAAATGGGAAAGTTGATGGAAAAAGTTGTTGCAGTCATTAAGGTTTCTACAAATTTGCAGAAGGGGAACAATATGTAATACTCTGTACAGTATACATTATTTTATTGAATAATACAGGTAAGTTAAATTTTAGCCACAGAAGGAAGCACTGTACACCATGTTGCCTCCACCACTCTTAAGTTCTGGTCAATGAAAACAAGCTACTATATCAGCTCACTATGATTTTAGTTGCAATAAACCAATGAGCACTGAAAATATACAGGATAACTATCTGTGCTCAGTGGTTTGTTCCTGCTAAAATTAGACATAGTTCAGTGATGGCTTGTTTTCACTTTCAGGAGCCACAGAGAAAAACAGGTAAATGTGGCCCATTTACCAGTAAACACTAACCCCAACACGTGTAAATCTGTACATACCTTGATGCCTGCAAGGGGCGTTCTTCTATAAGTTAAAGGGAAATTCAGAAAAATATTGTGGCACTGATAATCTTGATAATTGGACAAGTAGTTCAGAAAGTAAGGCTTAAAAAGAATAAACATATAAAAAACTAAACATAGACAACACTACATGTTGAGCTGAAGCAGGAAATGTTACAGAGAATTGATTTATGTGTTCTGATTGTGAGTGACACCTACAGAAGCCTGCAAAAGGAGGAAGGAAATGAAATTATCATGTGTAGAGAAAAAAAAAAAAAAAGATTGTATACAGTATGTAAATCAAATGAAGGTTACTTAAAATTGATGTGTCTACTTTATTTCAGGTGCATGTGTATGTGTTTTCTCTACATCCCCACCTGTGTGTTGGCAGCACCACCTCGCTCCTTGCTGGGAACATCCTTGGCCTGCAGGATGTGGACCGTGAGCGTCTTGGTGGGCAAATCGTATGCGAACCCTGCCTCTATGGTGCCGCACCTCACTAACAGTGCTTCCCCAACTGATCCGTCCTCGCGACACTCCTGCACCACATGAAAACATTAACACCATTACCATCCTACTTCTGCACCATACAACACCACTGAACACCATCACTACACCATTTTCACCACACACCTGCACCCCATCATCAAAGTCACTGTACAGAAACATAAAGAGCCAGTCACTATTATCATCATCTCTTTTCAAAATCAAATTACTTCCTCTTACACATACGATACCTTTAGTTACACATAGTAAAAGAAACTCACACAATTTTTCATCTTTGTTTCTTGCATTCTAATGTCATTATGTCTTGAAGTGCTGATAACATAATTAAAGTGATACAATTTCCCAGGAGTTCACCATACATCAACATCATTTGCACTTATTACATGTAATATACCAACTGAAGAAGCTTACCAACACCTGGAAAACTCACCCACCTCATCACCACTCACCTGGTGGTAGGTACCGTCGTAGGGGGAGCGGTTTGGTGACATCTGACGGTATGCTCTGGGATCCCTATGGCGAAGCGCCCGATGGGTCAGCAGGTCATCATCGCCACTCGTTGTGGACCCCGAGGATGAAGCTGACGATGACGATACACCAACACCCACTCCGACGGGCTCCTCCTCGACGCTCACGCCCGCGCGCCCTTTCTCGGCAAGGGAGATGAGGTCGGTGTTAGGGTCGCAAACACACCCGTCCCCGCGATCTGCAGGGAGAGGGCGGGTTGTGGTGTGCTGTGTGGGGTGCTGACACTATGACACCAAATGTCACAGTACTACTACTGCTGTTGATTCTACTGCTACTACAGTACTACCACTACTACTCATGGTATAAATCCCAGTCTTATGTCGCTGTTGCTTATGGGCAGAGTTATTACACTACAGTTTGTTGTGCTTCTGCAGCCATTGGTGCTTGGGTAATGAAATTTTTTTACTTCTACTGGGTCAGTGGTTACTGATACCACTAAAATAGTTGTTGCTGGAGGTGCTGAAACTGTTACTGCCACTACAGTTGCTACCACTAACTTTATTACCACAGCCTTGCTCCTACAACTGTGATCAGCAGCATGATATGAGTCACAGGTCAGGACATTCTTAAAATCAGTCCACCTCAAAGATGAGACAGAGCTGGAAGTGCCATGATGAACAAACACGGAGCCAATTCATACTTTATGATTTCATCTTGGTCATGAAATACAGGCACAATATTTCAGCGAGACTCCTGGTGCTCCATTACCTACATATTTCCAAGTATACAGAGAAACATTAGTACAAGTTTAGAAATAAAATAGAGTAGAGATTTTTTTTTAAGAAATGGGTCCTTCAAGACTTGATATGTAAATTGAAGGTAAAATACTATAGAAGACTATGAATTTTTAATGGGATGTGAGAAATGAATAATGCTTACCGATCTATATACCTAACTAAAGATGATTGTAGCTACACCTAGGTCATACCATTGCTACAGTGGATGGGAGAGAAGGTGGGGTTGTTACCTGGTCACTCAGTCTGCCTGTAGTATTTTGATTCATGACAATAACTGTTCCATTACTGTTGTTGCTACTAATACTGCTTCTTTTACTATTACTGTACAATACTACCAATATTAGAAGTTACTATATTACAGTACTGGTATATTGCAATTACTACAGCTAGCCAATGCTCATACTGTTACTAATACTTCACTCACTACAACTAGCACCGCAACTACTACTAACAAACCGATTAAAACTACCAGAACCAGTATTACTAACTTCATCACATCAACAACAACTATCACTACTATAACTACAACTAACACACACACCACAACTTACTGCTACTATTTCTACCACCCCAACCACAACAATGACTACAACCATCCCCACCCCACAACAGCAGCTTCAACCATCAGCATCTTCCCCATTACAACTATTGGGCATATACCGATAACCACACAGAAAAAAAGAAAACATGAAGTTCCCAAGCGCTTCCGTGTAATTCACATCTTCAGGGTGCTTTCTTTTTTCCAATGTGGTTATCAGCATATACATGGATCATGTGCACCTACAGTGATTTATTTGCAGTTATATGACCAAAACAAACCAAAACCCAACACTCAATCGAGGAAGCTATTCCATCACTCAGCCATGTGTAGCACGGGAATGGTCGTCTTAACTGTAAACTGCATAATGAAGGAGACAGGATAAAAGGAAGATGGAACTTCAAGTAGTGTTTGCACGTAATCATGCCCTTTGTGGGACAGAGTATTTTGGGACCCACTGAATCCACTAAAGGTTGATGATGAACATCTGGAGAGGTACTACAGATTTTCTAGTAGGGACATTATGTGCTTATGTGATGAACTACAGCAGGATATAGGATGTGTGACAAGAAAATCCTTTGCCATCCCGACCCAAACACTTGTATTAGTAGCTCGAAGATTTTATGCTAGTGGCTGTTTCCAAAGTGTAGTGGGCGGGTCCGACTAATTACCCAAATGTAGCCGCAATGAAGTCAAATAATGGTCCTACATGAATAAATCGGACTGCCAATCACTTCTCGACTGGTATTTGGTGTCACGAAGTCACAAAAAATTGGTAAACTTAATTTAATCTGAGTTAATAGATCGAGTGCATGTACCGAACCTAACCTAACCTAACGTAACTCAACTAGTATTTGGTGTCATAAAGTCAAAAAATTGGTAAACTTAATTTAATCTGAGTTGTGTTGTGTTAGGTTAGGTTAGGTTAGGCACATGCACTTGATCTATTAACGCAGATTAAATTAAGTTTACCAATTTTTTGTGACTTTGTGACACCATATACTAGTCGAGAAGTGATTGGCAGTCCGATTTATTCATCTAGGACCATTATTTGACTTCATTCCGGCTATATTTGGCTACATTTGGGTAATTAGTCAGACCCCTCTTACTATTACAACTCCCCACAACAACTACTACTACCACTCCTTCACAACAACAACTACTACTACTAGTCTACTACTGTACACTGTACCACCACTTGCCCAAAACAACTACTATCACCTCCCTCTATCACCACAACAGACACTCACCTGGAGGTCCGCCATCTTCAGGGGCAGAGTACTGGGAGGAGGACCTGGAAGGACCCAGCTGGTGGTAGTTGTGATGTCCGTAGTGATTGTACGTGTGGTAGGAAGAAGGGGTGTGATTGGCGTGGTTGTGGTGGTTGCTGGTGGTGTGGTTGTGGTGGTTACTGCCGACGTGGTTGCTGTTGACATGGTTGTGGTGATTGTCACGGAGGGCGGAGGGGAAGCTCTTGGAGGTGGCGAGCCTGTTGGACACCTCCTCCTCGCTGTCGCTGGAGCTCTCCCCCTCGCCATAGTTGTAGGCAGCACCTGTAACACACAGTGCGAGTGAGTCAAGGTTCTTGCCATATCAACAAACCTTAAATTATTTAAAAACAAATAAAAAATGCGTCTGGAGGCTTGTTGGTGCATTGGGGGCAGTACCAACTTGATGCTGTTTTTCCAAATGGTTCAACTTAGTATCAAGGGCGATGTAACCCACTACTACATCCCTGGCACTGGGCCCACCCTGGAGGACCACCAGTTGGCATCTCTCCAGGAGTCTCCTCCTGGCCAAGCTTCTCCGTGATTCATCCCAGACTTGTTCTCTTCACCTCACATAACCTATCCTAACCTACACGTCAACTTGTTCCACTAATCGTCGGAGTTGTCGTTGGCTCTTTGTCAACCTGTACACAGACCGTCTGCACTGACAAGTTGCACGACAACTTCAACAACTTACTGGAATCAACAATATCTATAATTGATAATACAGAGGGTTATAAAAAAATCTACTTGAAATATAAAGGTAAAATTATTATGAACTCATTATTACTCTTCTTCCCAAGATTACTCATTGTTATGTTTAATTTCGTGATTTAAAAAAGGTAAGAAAATGTCATTGTTGTTTACATTTAGACCACACGAGAATAATAACATGACAGAGCCAACAGGTAAAATAATTTCCAATGTGTGGACACGCCGCTCCGGGGAGTTCTTGGTGGACCAGATAAGGCAGCGCTGCTGTCTCTGGGATCACCAGGACTCTTCATACACCATAAAAGGCGTAGAATTGCTGCTCTTTCTTCGTCCGTTGTATCCATCTGGTTTGTTGCCAGTTTACGAAAGAAGAATGCCAGTGTGACTCCGCCTTAACTTAACCGATTCGTTAACAACCTTTATCTGATCCAATATTATCCTATCCTAAGCCTAACCTAACGTAATCCTAAAGTATCCTAACCAAACCCAAAGGCCCATAAATTGTCTTGCACCACTTCTGAACATTGAACTTAAACCTGTGTATAATCCGTATATCCCTATCCACAAATCCTAATCATTCATAAACCCTATTCGTATGTACGGTAAATCTTGAATCCCGTAATCCAGGAATCCGTATGTCCATCAATTCTCAACATTCAGCAATCCACGTTCGGAATTTAACCTGTCCATAAATTCACTCGTCCACAGTTCAATCAGCCCATAATTCCACTCTATTAATCCGCCTAGTCCATCAATCGACTCATCCACAAAATCTCTGTCTTTCAGTGAGCCTTAAACCTCAGGCGGATGTGAGGACATGGTGACAAGATAGTTTTATCAACAGTAATCTTTCCTTCCTCCCTTCCTTCCTTCACACACACAGGAGAGTGAGGAAGCTGGAGGGAGGGAGGGAGAGGCAGGTGGAGGAGGGTAGAGGGTGGCAGGGAGAGTGAGTGAGGGAGGGAGGCAGGGATGAGTCCGTCACCATGCCATGAGGTATATACAGTACAGCAGGTAGCACAAAATACCACAGCAGTAGTATTTCGACTCATAAATACTTCAGTACCATTAAATGTCACCACCTGACCTTGCTGAGCGGTCACTAGAAACACAAAGAGCTAGATTTAACAGTGACATAAGTGGCACTCACGGCGGCACGCACCTACAGAAATGAATGGCCACGGTGACCTTTGTAAATGGGTTAAGGTCACTCTCCACTTCCCACTGCCTGTTGGAGTATGGTGATAATAAATATCTAGTGTGACAATGACGTCGACATTTTTTAGATATTTTTTTAGATTGCCCCGAAGGGGGCTAGTTTATTGGGCACGCCCCTTATTTATTTTTTCAGAGATTAGCCCACCCGGGCACAGGTCACTGACCCATCAGGCCTGGGGTGGGAATGTAATAATAATAATAATAATAATAATAATAATAATAATAATAATAATAATAATAATAATAATAATAATAATAATAATAATAATAATAATAATAATAATAATAATAATAATAAAGAACCACAATGAAATATAAAAATGAAAAAAATCAAGTGAGAAATAATATACTGTATGTATGTTGTGTTATCAATAGTAAGAGAAACAATTGAGACCCTGCAATTGTGTGTAAATGAGGCAGAAAGTCAGATCAGCAGCCTGAGACTTGGTCACAATTTTTGTGATGTCATATGGCAACAAGGTCTACCATAGACAACACATTATGCTTCCAATATCTTCCCAGGCGGTAGTACCTCCCTGTTTGGTAGCTGCCTAATACCTCACTGCCCCACTGACCTCTGGCCTATAGTGACACTGCTGGCCTATAGTGCCATACAGTGCCTGGTATAATCGTGTCAAGTCCAACCATCATTCTTTACTCTGGTTTTGTTGTATATATTGTTATTGTGGTCAAAGTATATCATCACTCGTCTTCAAGAAGCTTATAGCCAATGATACAAGATACGTTTGGTTAAACTCCACTGCGTCTAACTGTAATCCTTCCAGAGATATGGTGGTAACAGCGGAGGCAGACACGGACGGACAGAGAGGAAGTCATAAGCCATAAAAGGGAAAGAACTGATGAACGTTACGTGCGAGGAACTGCAGGGTGGAGGAGGGGAAGGAAAGGAAGGGAAGGAGGAAGGAAGAAGGAAAGAGGAGGAAGATAAGGAAGAAGGAAAGAGGAGGAAGATAAGGAAGAAGGAAAGAGGAGGAAGATAAGGAAGAAGGAAAGAGGAGGAAGATAAGGAAGAAGAGGAGGGGAGGATGAAGAAGGAAAGAAGGGAAGACTGATGAAGGACAGAAGGGAAGAAGAAGGGGAAAATGTGAGGAAGGAAGAGGAATAAGAGGAGGACGAGGAGGAGGCCTGGTCTGATAAGGTGAAAGGTGTTCAATACTGTGTGTGTGTGTGTGTGTGTGTGTGGAGCAGGATGCCGCAGGTAGCAGTGTAAAGGTGTGGTAAAAGTGCGTTAAAGTGTCATTTATTATTACTATTATTTTTATTATTATACAGTTTATAATGAGTCTTACCTGGAACAATTATTAACTGTATTTCATAGGTTTATTTCTAAGCGATATATACGTGGGTGAATATAAAGAATTAACAGCGCATTAATTACTAGATGGAGTTACTCTAATGGTGTAATAACATGCAAGTGTCAAAATGTGTCCTCTTACTCTAATGACTAACACAGTTCACTTACATAAAACACGTATCTTAAATATATGTAAATTTTCTTTTGCTTTTCACTCGAATGATTTGTACGTCTGGGTTATTTACAACGTCTAAATAATATCTATTACGATATGTTTTTAGCCATCATTGTTATCATAGTTATTACCTATTGTTATCTCTCGCTATATCGGGTCCGGGAGGCTAACAATGGGAGTATTTTTAAGGATAATATCACGGCAGGATTTTTCGGAAATATGTTTCGTAATTCGGGGTTAGCGGGTCAAGGATAATACACTAGCAAGTAATACCTTCCTTCGCGTGAATACTTGAGGTGCCATTGACCTTCATCCCTGAAATTTAATAAAAAATAAATAAATAAATAAAATCAACAAATAAAATAACAGCCTGGTGTATGAGAATTGCAACTTATATAAAATTTCCTACCTACCTCCTTGATGAAGAAAAAAAGGTGAAAAATCCAAAATTATTCGTCATATATTACTCCCACTATCAGCACCACCACCACCACTAATACCACAGTACTACTAATACCTGCAGCACCACAACGATAACCGATTCCTGATTTTCTCTTACGAATTTGTACGAGGCTACACACCCCAGAGCAGCGTGGTAAACTGATTGGTATGAATTTTAAGAACAATGACATTGATTGCATGATGCCAGCGGGTGTTGCAATGCCGTTTGTTGCTCCCTAAATACACTGAATATTAAAGGAAATGTCATGTGCAAGGTGATTTAATAACACGAGTTGAAAGCCACTGCAACGTGTACAGAGGTAAACAAAGAATTCTAGGTTTTAAATGCTTAGGAAATACTAGCGATAACCACAACAGTCGATCATGAAGTCAGCCTCTCTCTCTCTCTCTCTCTCTCTCTCTCTCTCATTACCAACTTGATGCGTTTTCTGTTTAACGTCGACCCTCAAGGCAGCACCACCGAGAACTCATTTCACGCAAGACTCCCTCATCCTCGTGACGGACCGGGCTAGACTCTTAGAGGCGAGCCTTAAAAGTCTTCCCTAACCCGCTTACTTTGTCTTAGCGAGAACCAGGGGCGCCCCGTCCTCCTCCTCCTTCTGCTGGCAGCTAGAGAGACATAACTGTGTAAAGCTTCTTGGTCTTCCTCAGGATATAACAGACTGGGGTTCCCGTTGGTGAGCATGTTCCTCGCACAACTAACGAGTCCTCAGTTCATTATTCGGGCGGGCCGAAACTTTGCGTGTCATTTACTTCTGTGATTGAATTGTTTGTAAATCGATTGGTGCGCATTCGTGTGCCAAGGGTGAGGGGTGGAGGGTGGGGGGTAATAACTAGCCAGCGTGGTATGCGAGTTGTCTGTCTTCCTGGACTCTCTCCCTTAACACAAGAGTTTCACAGCTCGATAACTAAGGGCGTGGTTGTTGTGTTGGCTGTAGCTTCGCGCCCTGACAACGAGTTACACTGCTTGGTAACTAAGGACGTGATTATGTTAGGGAAGGAGGTGATGTGGGAGGAGTGGGATGGAGGGTGGGTGGAGTAGGACCTAGGTGAGGGGGGAGGGAGGGAGGGACCAATCACACTGTTACTCGCCATCACCATCTTCAACAAATCACGCCACTCATCTTATCTCTCTCATCCAACACGCCACTTATTTCAGCGTGTGCGTGCGTTTGTGTGCGCATGCGTGTGTATATCTGTGCTTGCACGTGTGTGAAAGAAAACTTGAGGCAGGGAGGAAGTGGAGATGGAGTGTTCATGACGTAGGAAGGAAGGAAGGAAGGAAGGAGGTGCAAGAGGAGTGTTCATGACGTAGGAAGGAAGGAAGGAAGGAGGTGCAGGAGGAGTGTTCATGACGTAGGAAGGAAGGAGGTGGAGTGTTCATGACGTAGGAAGGAAGGA